TATAATTGCCAAGTACAAGTTTCCATATGTAGTATGGTATACAATTGTAGAGCAATAAAGTTATTATTTATATTATATAGGCTTTCCACAAATACATGCAGACAACATAAGCTGTAGACACAATAGAGGCTCCCATGTGTATTGACAACCATAAAGACAATATTTACAGTGTATACTGTATGATTTGAATACACCAATGTCATGCAATTCATAAGTGTGGAGACTATTGCCATTTATAACAACAGATTGACCTATTAAAACAGTTTATTGCATCTACTGTCAGATCTGATTTAACTTGAACTTTTAAAATTCCATTGAGAGATACATATTATATTTAGATGCAATAAATACTGGTAAGAAATTAGTAGATCATAAATATATTGATGTATCCTTGCATTCATATATTCATACTCCATAGTTTCGTTTAATGAAGGAAAATGTATTGTTTTTGCTATGTTTGTTCTTCCTCACCAAACCAAAAAGGTCAATGACCTGAACCAGACTGTCACCATGGTAACTAGTGTTGGGTTACATCATGTTGCAATTTTATAGCAGGAGGGATTTAGACTCCTGTCTGACTATATATATGAATGTGTTTGAGTAAGAATTAACAGAGCAGACCATATGTGAAGGTAAACATTATGCATTTGCTTTGCAGTTTTTATGTTTACTTTTGTAATCAGTTTTTGTATTGCCTTAATCACTTGGTAATACTTCAGTACAATAATTATGCAAATAATACTAAGGAAATGTATTGCTATACATATACACGGCTTGAAATACACATCTGCAATTTGTACAAATTTGCAAAATGTTTTAGGAAGCAGAAGAAAATACAAGACACAAAGACAACTGATCGTACAATTTTTTATCACTTAGGTGTCAGATCATGGAGCTAGAATTTAGTAGAAAAGGTTGATCAGCTTGAAATGTTTATGTCCCTTTTTGGGGTCCACCCCCAAAAAAGGCTAGTGTCGGCAGTTTTTTCTAGTGTCTGTGTGGAGATGAAGTCTTCTAACCCACCATTTCTTGTGTTTCACAGGTTTGTCCTAAGACATCTTGTAGTTGAGCGACCTTCCTTACCAACCGATCAACACCTTAGATAAATCACAAGTAAGTTCCACTCCCATTTTCCTTTCCCTAATCTCCGTAGCAGGCTTATAGAACTGGGGGTTTGGTGTTCTTTGGCTGTTTTCTGATTAGCAAAAAAATGGGGATAATTCAACTGGGCCTAGCCTCCATAGCATGCCTAAAACTGGGGCTTTTGGGGGTCTTCAGGGTCTTTGGGAGCTTTTATGTGCTATTTTCTGATTGCATATAGACAACATAGCCGGCTTGATTGAATTACCCCCGTTTTTTCAACTGGGCTGATCAGAAAACAGCCGAAAAGACCACCAACCCCCCAGTTCTATAAGCCTGCTACGGATCTCGAGGGTAAACCAGGCCGGTTATGTTGTCAATATGCATCAGAAAATAGCACATAAAAGCTCCCAAAGACCCTGAAGACCCCCAAACCCCCCAGTTTTTGGCATGCTATGGAGTAGTGCTGCATACCTAAACCCACATTTAGGTTCAGGTCCAGATTCAAGTCCAGAGGTTTAGGTTCAGTTCCGGACTTGTAAGTCCGAACCTAAACCCACGGCATACACAAAATTGCATGTTGGCAACCTTGCAATGTTTTCTGGGTGAAACTTTGGCCACATAACATGGAGGCCTGTACTTGACAATGCCCGATGGCAATGTTTTCTTCATTTTGCAGCAAAGTTTTTGCAATCTACGGAAGGTTTTAGGTGGTTTGGAAAGAAAAGAGGTGTGTGAAATGGTCTTTTATGGTAATAAGTCCGGACTCTGTTCTTGACTTTTAGTTTATTTTGGACTTTAACCTAAACATTCTTAAAAGTCCGGATCCAAGTCCAGTGAACCAATATGCAGCGCTACTATGGAGGCTATCCTTTCCCCTCGTTAACTTTTCTGTGTTCTCACCTCTTTAGCCGTTGTCTGTCTTTTCTATAAGGTGTGAAATAAACAATTGGACATCCCACCCCCTTTGGACACTTCAACAATAAAGTTATAACGATGGGTGGGAAAATTAGTGATCTGTTTTATTCACAGATTACTTGGAACAAAAGATTCTTTAAAGATTATTCTCACACCACCCATGTAGAAGAACGCATTCAAGCCATTATGTGACAAATTAATTTCTTTTGTGGGATGGAAGAAAATGTAGCGTAATTATAGTATTTGTTCAGGCTTCTGTGTTTGTGAATTGTTGTGGTAGTTACCGGTATTTGACCATTAGGTAATCTGTTGAATACATGAAGTCAGCCATGTTTTCCTGTGACATTTCTAGACTACTGCCTGTAGACATTTTCTCATATCCTGTTATGTGTACTCCATTTTAAAGCACTTGGCTATATTTGGTGATATCCGATTGGACTCTCTCTGTCTTGGCTTGGCTTCGTTTCCGAAGATTTACTTAATAATTTATTTAATTTATTTAATACTCTTACAAGGAAGCTAACATCTTGAAAAAGGCATTTCTTCTGTCTATAGTATACCTGGGAGAAACCTACAAATAGTTCAATATTGAACCAAGGAGGTTAACCTCCTTGGTTCAATATTTCATATCTTTTGGGAACTTAGTATATTATTACTTGGTCATTAATAGTGCTGTGTACCGGTTCACTGGATCAATGTATGTAAAGGCATTCAATGCAATTTCAGGGCAGCAAAACTGGTAATATATTCTGAATAAGACAATATTTGTGATATTGACACATATGTTGCTTCACATTGGCACATTTAAGTCAGTATTTCATACTTTGGGCTTTTAAAAGTGCAGAACAAGCCCCAAGACGAGTCCTGTATTTTCTGGGGTGGTACCCTGAAAATCAGCCCAGGGCCCTTCCAGCAAGCATTTTCTGTCAGAATTTTGGGGATTTTTGCTCCATGAGGGTCAATATACATTGGGATAGTGTGGTTTTAACTTAAGTATGTAGATGAGTGACTAGAATATTGGCTCTGGAAAATCAGGCTTCCAAGCCCTGAAAACTGCACTGAATGCTTTTAATACACTTACAAAAACACTACTGAGACTATACAAGTACAGTTCATCATGCCCCATTTTTAAACTGTTGGGGGGTAAACCAGCCTGTAGTTAGTCATTCAGAATGTGTGAAATACTTTTTTCTCTTGCCTGCAATTTTACTGGCTGTTGTTTTTTTGTCTGCGAGGTGGTGAAATTGTCTGTAATAACAGTAATGTGCTTGAAACAATGACTTGAGTAATTTGGGAGTGGCGATTGAATTGGGACCATCTTGGAGGTACATGTAGATGTTTTTGCAGACTACAGTAGTTAGAATGTGTATCCACGTTTTGTCACCATAGGCCACACCAATTTAATTTGTTGGTTCTCGGAATCGCCGCTATCAGATTTCGCAGAATGAAAAAAAAAATACAATTTCTCATAGGCTCCGCCCCAGAGGAGTTGTCAAAAAATAAGATCACACCACCAAAACCTGCAATTTTATAAAGGGATGATAGGTGTCTCTCTTACCAGTTGGTCATGTGACGTATGGGAACCAATAGAAGGGCTCTATTTTGCATAACAAAATGGCGGTCAGTTTTGAGAGAAGAAACTTCGTCCAAGTTGCTATTAAACCTCCTTGCTTGAATGTAGGCTTCAAGAAGTAAGAAAATAATAGTGGCCGGAGATGTAGGAAAGCCACAATTTATGATGTTGTCAGAATTTCTGGTGTTGAAATTCTAGGGGTGGAAAAATTTGCAGAACTTGAGCTGGAACCAAAACAACTTTCTGCCGGTGGGTTTGATGTCCTTGCATGGTTTGATGAAGTAGTATCCTATGTTGTCCTTGTTATGTGATGAGCGAACCCAATATATTATTCTGAACCGATTTAGCTATTGAGACTGCTATTCAGACTATTTTTTAGTTTATACAATCCAGGATTGTAGCCCTGTTAAGACATCATCATTATCATAAATTAATAAAATCAAATACATGTAACTGTTAGATGGAAATAAGATCATGGTTATGAAAAGAGCAACATATGCATACATAGCAGTAATTAAATATATATATATATTTTTTTTTTGCTTTTCTGTATACTGTACCTTGTACCTTTCATTCAACACGAGAACCCCCGGGCCCCTATTTCCAGCCCTGGCTTTACCATCAGACTTCACAGCTTTTTTTTTTTTTCGCCCTGTCGCTTCATTTTTTTCCTGAAAAAATCCGAGAACCAACAAATTAAATTGGTGTGGCCATAGTAAGTATTAATACGCATCAGACACTATAGTGGAGAATATACCGAATTAAGCATCTTTGTACATGCCCTGTATATTCAGTGGTAAATGTGAACAGAGTGACTGAATGTTACAAGCAGTTTTCACAACTTTTTCCCAGGCATTTTTATAATTTTTGCAACACTTTTCTAATGGTATAGAAATATGTCTGTTTCTACAAGAGAGATGTTTTCCCTCATGCAAATGAGATTTACTTTCGTGCTAAATCAAAATCAGGGCTCGAAGTTATAGGTGGTCCAATGGCCACTGACCACTAAAATTAGACTGGGACAACTAAAAAGACACTTTGGGTCATTTTTGGGACAATAGAAAAATAATCAACATCAGAATGTAAGCCCTTCTTTTGTTTATCAGGCACACGTCCCAGCTTTTGGATCCTGAAAAGTCGCTCCAAATTTCCTGTCTACTCTGCAATTATATAGTGTGTCTGGGAGTGAACATTATAGCAAAATAAAGTTGACTTCGACTTCCCCAAAAACAGGTTGGGACAGTTCATCCTCACTTTGGGACAACTGGAATTTATTTTTGGGACAGTGCTGGGACAGTAAGAAGAAAAGTTGATTTCGAGGCCTGAAAATACTGGTATTTTTAAATATCGTCTAATATGTTCTACATTGTAACATTCAGAACTCTGCTCACATTAGCCACCTTTTATTTACAGGGAACTAACGTCCACTATGGCTGACCGCGTGCCTGACTTACCGAGCTTGCTCGAGCAGTTACGCTTGAGCAAAACCTCCGAAGACGACAGCGCCCATACCGAACATGACCATGTAGATTTCATCCTGAAAACGTACACTGTTACAGAAGTACTATCAGAGTTGTGCAAAGAAATAGAAAAGGATGTCGTTCCAAACAAGGGTTTACTCCTTGAAAAATCTCTACAGATATTCCAGCGAAGCCCTACAAGCTGGTTAGTACCGGTTGACACTGACTCTGAGACATTGTCCAATCAGTACGCTGCTTTCATTACCAGCCTTCTCTCCGCCATTCGAATCCCAGATCAAAGGCCAAGTGAAGAAGAAATAGTACACGATGAAGACTTTACAAACGTTAAGGAAGTAGCACCAAAGGTTCTTGAAGTAATTTCTGGGCTCTTGAAGGCGTTAGATAGAAACGAAGACACTGAGGACTCACAGAGACTTCAAGAAATAAAGGGGAAGGTGTTTAAGAAAGTTGCAGCATGTATTGCATGTGGTTGTATTGCATTTCTTTGTGCAAAGCAGCCATGGAGCAACAAGTGTTGTGCATCTTGTGCACAGGTCACTCTCTCCCCACTCATGCAATGTTGCAACTTCGAAAACGAGTCTGAAATGCTCTGCGGAACTGAGGAAAAAGTTGGCATCTTTGGTTCAATTTTAACCTTGCTGAAGCCAAGTCTGGGAAGAGACACTTGGAAGAAGAATCTATCCACTAGACGAGTTTTCTATTGGAGTTTGGTTCGGGTAGCACGTCCGTATTTGTCTGATTTTGTCGGTACCATCCTTCCGCCTGTTCTCTTGTTCTTGGACGATCACCAGCTTGAAAACAGACTACTGGGGGTTGACTGTCTACAGCATGTGCTGAAGAACACCCCCGCCGCGGAGCTACAATGGTACAACCGCGCCGCCGTCATCTACGACGCTCTTCACGCGACGCTGTACTCACAGGAGCCACGATTGGTCGAAAAAGTTGTGCCGTGTTTGCTCGACGTTTGTGCGATCTTGGAGAAGCGGCCAACCGAAGAAGGCGTTCCACGAAAAGCGAGTCAATTGGACGCCTTGCTCCGCCATATTCTCACTAACATGCAGCACGAAGGGAAACTGGCGATGAGACGCGCGTACTGCAAGCATCTACACCTTATCGTACAACACCTTGGCATTCGCTGCGTATGCCACCTGAACCGACTTCTACGCGTAATATACGAGTACCTGGAGGTTTACGACGGACCCGTAGAATCTGCACGGAAAGATGCTCTCACAGCGACAAAGACAATGATCGTCCAAGCATGGCCGCGTATGCCTCATCACGCACAACCGCTAGCGAAAGCGCTACTCAAACTTGTCATCGATATCTCAATGGACGAGAGCGGGACATCGGAAAACGTACGCGAAGAAATCTGTGCGTCGGCCACAGAGTGTCTAGTACTGTTAAACAGATGTAATGAAGGAATGCTAACAGAAGACATCAAGCTTGTTGGAGATGAAATAGACATCAGTGCAGTAAAGAAGTGCGTGGAAACTGTTTTGAAAGACACGGAAAGCTCATAACAAACTTCTTCTAATTTTCTCATCGTGTTCTAACATATGTTAGCTTAGAAGTGAGTTAGAATCCTTCCCGCATCTTTGTGTGTATAGGACTGTGCCCATCTTCATTTCTATAGCAATTGGTCCATACTTCTATATAAGCAAGAATGCAGGGAGCTAGTCCACTGATAGTCTAATATGTTTTAGCAAAGAGAAAGATAAGTCTAATATGTTTTAGCAAAGAGAAAGATAGTTAGACTTTGCTTCCTTCTGGTCTTGGTGACAATTTGGTACATTGTATGTCTTTTTGAATTTCTGGAGAATTCTTGCATAATTCCTAATAAAAATAGTAGTATGTAAAAGGATAAAAAGACCATTGAAAATTTGTTCAGAAACAGAATATCATAATAAATCTAGTGTAAAATCAAGACATGATTCATATAGCTGTAAATAATACACATAGTCTATGAGTTAGTTTCTATTTTTCTTCAGTCACCATACACTATCACTGCATTACAACATAGCAGAGCTTTCCATGTAGAACTTCAATGTAAAAGTTAACTTTCCTTTGTGAACCTCATAGTGAAAGAAAAGTAACATAATGTACACCTGCCATAGCCACATATCAGCACAATTCCATCAACAACATGCATTAAAATTAATAACATCAAATCATCTATTTCCTCTCCATGAAAAGAACATTCCCATCCTCTTGATTACTATAGTTACATAATGCATGATTACAGTGTTCATAATTACATGCCATTTTATTTCAAATCTAGTGGGGAAACATACTGATTGCTTTTGCTGGCACAGCACTCAAGTCAGGACCTCATAGGTGGTATAAATATTAAAATCAGTGCCTGATGGTGCACGGTAGGGGATGGGGAGGGTGTAGGGGGACTTGTTGTAAGGCCACACCAAGTAAGTTTTATGGATGACGTCTGCGCATGTGTTGATTTTGGCCTATTCACAGAAAAAGAAATTCTGCTTCCTGTAACTATATGACTAAAGAGTCACGACAGTTCCACAAATTGCAAGATTGGAAGATGTAATGAAAGGAAAGAAACAGGACAGGACGGCAACTGCTGTTCCACTGATTTATTGCTGTTTTCATGAATAAAAGACTTGTTGGTTGTTACACTGTGTTCTTTCATTCAATTTGTGTCCTAAGTAACAAGATTTTAGGCCCAGAATCAACTGCAAAATGCTCAATGAAAGACATATTTTGGCCCCAACGGTTGAAGAAAGTCCTTTTCTTCCTTGTTGTTAAAGTTTTTCAATGTAACAATGCAACTTCATTTCATTAAAAGTTCAAAATCTATTGTTTTAATTATAAACCATCCTGGTATGTTGACTTCATGGCTCATATCGTAACATTTCCGGCTATCATGGGGTGCCTTGGCCTGTTTTTTTTTTTTTCACCCTGTCGCTTCAAATCTTTATTGAAAAAAAAAAAATCAGACAAACAACAAATTAAATTGTGGCCTTAGTATATTTCCCATCTAGGCATCTCGTTTTTTCGGCCCTTGATTTTGTTCCACACTCTTGCATTAGATCTACAGAGGACGTCATCCATAAAAATTACTTGGTGTGGCCTAGCGTAATCTTGCAGAGATCTTGATAAGACCACCTGTGGGTACAACATGCCCCAACGAGGCACTAATTACTTCATCACAGACGACTAGGCGGGACTGGAAACAAAGGGAGATGTCAGGCCAACAATGCAGAGAGATAAGAGTGCAGATGTGTTAGGGCATTATAGGGAATTACAGTGGATAAAGCCAGTCTAGGCAATGATGAGCTAAGCATGCGGACACGCATGAAGTGGGGCCTGCATGGGGGGGTCTACGCTAAATTTTGAGAACTGGCTACGTATTACGCTGAATTCAGGAAACCTCTCGATTACGCTTTACATTAAATTCCAAGTGGCTACAACGCAAAACGGCGAATACGCTCTACGCAAACGCTCTACGTTGAATTAGAGTGGTCTGTCTGTCTACGCTCTACGTAGAATTAAAACAGTCGATTACACCTTACGGAAAAGGGCATGCAGGCCCCCATGAAGACTTTTGGATTTCTCCACTGGAGTACGGATAATACGGCAGTCTGACTTGTCACGTTATGTAAACTTATGCTGGGAAATCAACTTGAATGAAAATGTTTGAGTGAGCAGTCAATATGAATTTTTGCTCAGTGCAAGGCCAACACACTAATCATCTAGCCTCCGTAGCAGGCTTATAGAACTGGGGGTTTGGTGGTCTTTGGCTGTTTTCTGATTAGCCTCCGTAGCAGGCGTATAGAATTGGGGGTTTGGTGGTCTTCGGCAGTTTTCTGATTAGCCTCCGTAGCAGGCTTGTAGAACTGGGGGTTTGGTGGTCTTCGGCTGTTTTCTGATTAGCCTCGGTAGCAGGCTTATAGAACTAGGGGTTTGGTGGTCTTGGGCTGTTTTCTGATTCGCCTCCGTAGCAGGCTTATAGAACTGGGGGTTTGGTGGTCTTCGGCTGTTTTCTGATTAGCCCAGTTCTACAAACGGGGGTAATTCAAACAGGCCGGCTATGTTGTCTATATGCAATCAGAAAATAGCACATAAAAGCTCCCAAAGACCCCCCAAACCCTCAGTTTTTGGCATTCTATGGAGGCTACTATTCACCAACCTAGCAGATTGTACAGTTACAAGACAGTATCCATTGGCCAGAAGAGTTTGGTGGCTAGTGGTCACTCCTCTGGCCAAGGCCTGGCCAATGGATATGCCGGTATTGCATAGCCACCATAGGATCTGCTTGGCAGGCTCTTTTTCCTTTGTCAGAAACATCAATGTTTGAGACAAGTTCGACTTACTAAGAGTGAGGACTAGAGATTGGTATAGACAAATGAATATGTTAAATTTATCTAGTATGATTTACTTTGGAGGTGGCTATAAGTAATGGAATTAAGGAGGCACACCCCAGTTTATTTGGGGTTTCTATTTGAAGCTGCACACCCTCAAATCTAGCGACCGTCTCTGGCATGGAATAATTTGAATAACTGTATATGGAACGAAAGGATATCTCTTCAGCTACAAGACAAGCTGAGTTTGGTTTCTTCAACCTCTTTAATTTTGGTAAAATCAACAGAAAAAACATTAATTTCGCCCCAAAATTAATGCACAATATTGAGAATTTTCGCTTAGGATAATCCCATAGAAAAAACAAAATTCAGGCAGAAATGACTGATGCTGGCAGGAAGACCCAAACCTTGACTATACCTTAAACAAAAACTATGTCGACTTGTCTAAAAATATTATCTGTTTCCTCCCTTTGTTGGGAACGCCTTCCCATACTTGAAGATGTTTTCCCAAAGTCTTAACCTACTTGACAGTAAACTAACGGTTTATTTACTCTGGCCCCCCTCCCCACCCCAAGATTTACACTAGTCACCTTCCCAGGGGGTCAGAGGTCACAGCTGGCAGCTGGGAGCTGTCCCTAACGAGTGGGGCGGAGAGTTTACACTATTAAAAGTCAATTTGGCTGAGGAAGCTGATAGACTGGGACCATCTCAACAGTTCTGAGTTTCCTCTTAAAGATTTCGTTTCTAATCTCGACACAAATGTAGTGTCTGTGCCTTTTGAGGTAGATGTTGAAATGTCAGTTTTAAGTAGCCTCTACCAGGCACCGCGGATCGCTGGAAAAATAGTAGAAATTGGCCGAAATAAAGGGATAGTATACCGGAGAAGATCCAGGTCCATAGAAGATCCAATTTGCGACCCACGATCCGCCTGGTAGAGGCTAAGTTTTAAGTAATGACAGATTAAAAAGGGTGTTTCTTGATATCTTGTTTATTCATTGGAAACTAAGAAATTGGACCCACTCAATGAAAAATGCTCAATAAAAGACATATTTTGGACCTAATAACAGTTGAAAAAAGTCCTTCTCTTCCAACTTCTTAAGTTTTTCAATGTAACAATGCAATTGTGTTTCATTCAAAGTTCAAAATTATTGTTTTAATTATAAACCAGCCTGGTATGTTCACTTTATGGCTCATATTGTAACATTTCCGGCTATCATGGGGTGCCTTGGCCTGTTTTTTTTTTTCATTTTGCCCTGTTGCTTCATATTTTTTCTGAAAAAATTTGAGAAACAACAAATTAAATTGGTGTGGCCTAAAACTGATGAGTGACCATTGCCGATTTTCCAATATAATTTAGTTACGTAGAACAAAAAAAAAGGGTATTTTTAGGACATGTCTTGAGCTAGGGTCAACAAGATACATCTGATCTACACAGTTTATAGAGTTAGCATTTCATTCACTCACAAGAAAACTTCATTACGATTATAAAAACCTCATTTCCTAACTGAGAGGTCTAAAGAAATTAAATCCTAACCAGGACCAGATGGGAGTAAATCTGTTTTATTAATCCTTTCCTTTCTAATTACTATATCTGGGGTAGACCACCAGGCAATATATATGACATAAGGCAACAGCAAGTAATTTTTATGGATGACATCAATGCGCGCATTGATTTTCGCCTGATTTTGGAAAAAAAACAAGAAATTTTTTTGCCTTCTGACAGTGGTCAACATGCCGGTCAAATGGGCAAAATGGCATGTCTTGCCATGCTGGAACGTGTATGGCAGATAAACATGAAGAGAGGAGACAAGACAAGGCTCTGATTTATTGTTTTGACTTTTTACTTTGATGCAGTGATGTATTTCATTCCTTTTATATGTTCCCACAGAATCAAAACCATTTGTACAATGATTGAAAACTTTCCTTTTTCAAAGTTGCTTCAGTGACAAATGGATGTTGTGATAGTTGGCAGTTAAGTTAACACAATATATGTGTCATTTCTTAGGTAGGATGAGTGCACTGTGCAGTGAACTCTATGGGCTGACAGTGGAGTGTGTAAATAAATGCACAGAACATGTCCAACATTCCTGTCATCACAGATGGGAGGTGTGGGGAGATCTCACAGGAACTGTTTGTCAAAACTGGGGGACAACAAGCAACGGGGGTGTCAAACAAACCATGCTGGGGCCATGGCTTCCTGTCAGGGTGACCGTGAACAAGGATCATAAAGGGGGGCCCGCAAGCCCTTTTCCGTAGAGCGTAATCGGCCGTTTTAATTCTACTTAGAGCGTAGACGGACCGCTCTTCGCATTTTACGTATAGCGTAATCACCGTTTTAATTCTACGTAATGCGTTGTAGCCACTTGGAATTTATCGTAAAGCGTAATCAAGAGGTTTCTGAATTCAGCGTAGAGCGTTGTCGGGACCCCCCCTTGCAGGCCCTCTTAAAGGCATCCAATGCAATTTCAGGGTGGCAAAACTGGAAATATTCTGAATAAGGCAATCTTTGTGATATTGACACATACTGTCCCACATTAGCACATTTGAATCAGTACTTTAGGTATTTAAAACTGCAGAAACAAGCCCAAAGACGAGTCCTTCATTTCCTGGGTGGTACCCTAAAAATCAATCCAGGTCCTTCCAGTAACCATTTTCTGTCAGAATTTTGGGTATTTTTGCTCCTTGAGGGTCAATATACAATGTACATTGAGAGAGTGTGGTTTTAACTCAGTATGTAGATAAGTGACTACAATATTGACTTTTAAAAAATCGGGTTTCCAGGCTCTAAAAACTGTGCTGAGGTTGGAACCCCTAACCTCTGGAGCGACCAAATTCGATCCACATGGGTCCCTCACCGCATTCTCCATGGGAATATGCTTCCCTGAAAACCTGACACAGAACCAGAGTTTAGACAAGCTCTCCTCCGTACAGTAACACCAAAATGCCAGCACACACACAAACATTGACCACCACTCTAGCAACAAAGCTCTAAAAATACACATCCTGACAAAATGCTACAGTGTGGAATGCTATACAGCACTGGTACCCGGTACAGTCGGTATTCTAAACATTTTGTCTGGGGAAATATTTGCTGACTGGGGCAAAAAAAATGGCACAGTTGAGATTTTCTGAACAAACAGGAATAAAGTCAGTTCACAGAGAATGACTCATCTTGTTTTACCATTGCCAAAAAGGTCATGTTTTGGGTATCTAGCATTCATAATGGTTGAGTGGCATAACTCAAGAAGCTATGGATGGATTGCTCTGAAACTTGGTATGTGGTTAGGTCTTGACCTACTGAAGAAGTGATTAGGTTTTGGCCCCCCTGGTGGCTTTCCTTGAAACTGCAGGAAAACATTGATAGGGACTGGAATGTAGTACATGTATTTTGCAAAATTGCTAACATTTCAACCAAAGGTAATATTACGCTACATGAAACACCTTGTACTAGTATTTACTTAGAGTATATGCGAAGACATAATTAAATGTAAAAGTAATCATAAGGCCACACCAATTTAATTTGTTGTTTCTCAGATTTTTTCAGAAAAAAAACAGGAGCGACAGGGGAAAAAAAAACAGGCCAAGGCACCCCATAAGAGCCATAAATGTTGCAATATGAGCCATTAAATGAACATACCAGGCTGGTTTATAATTAAAACAATATATTTTGAACTTTTAATGAAACAAAGTTGCATTGTTACATTGAAAAAAACTTGAACAGCTAGGAAGAATAGGACATTCTTCAACCGTTGGGGCCAAAATATGTCTTTTATTGAGCATTTTGCAGTTAATTTAGACCCCCCCCCAATTTTTTTTTGGCAAATTGGAAAAAAAATGGACAGGGCGATCCGAGAAGCAACAAATCAAATTGGTGTGGCCTACGCAAAAGACCTAGCAGAAAACATGGAGGTAGAAGAGAGAAAATGAGGGAAAATCTTTCACAAGAGAGCCATGGGAAAACCAGTGCTCTGTCTCTTCACCATTTTGACTGACAAGACTATCACCCCCAACCCTGGGAGACAGACAGTTGATCAGAGAAGTATTTGGCCTGTTGAAATCCTGGCAGTGTTTTGAAGGATGAAGTGCTACTATGGTATGTTATCTGCTGTGCGAGTACCTATAAATACCCTGTTGATAGAGTTGTTTAAGTTAGAGCTGAGTGATGGATGAATGGGGAACAGACAGGTCAGCGGTGGTGATGCCGTCAGGACAAAACTGCAGTTTGAGTGTAATCTGATAGAGGGAGCAAATGTACTGGTAAATGTGAGATTTCTCTGTACTGGATTTTTGAGGATGACTGAAGTTTTTGGTCTTCACAATTTCTGAACAGACAGGTGAGCAATTGTAATGATGTCAAGACAATGCTGCAGTTTATATCCAACCTGATAGAGGGGGTAACTGCACTGGTAAAAATGGCCGTTGAGATTCCTCTGTTGGATTGAGAGGATGGGTCTAGCACCTGACACAGAAGTTTTTTTTCTTGAATATTTGGAAAGACAGACAGGTCAGCAGTTGTTATACTGTCTAGACAACATTTGCAATTTGAATCCAACCTGATAGAGGGAGCAAATGTACTTGTTGAGATTCTCTACTCTTTCATACTTTCCTAGAACTATCGCAGAGTGGAACTTGCTGTTACCAGGTACAGTATAGGTATGTCATTAGATAGCTGTAAATATTGTTTAGAGTTAGATGTTCAAGGGTTAGGTCACTTAGGTGTAACAAGTCGATCGGTGTAATGTAGCCAGCTGCTGCCGCGCCGCGTGCCTGTGAAGCTGGTGTGTTACGCCGAAGGGCGATCTGGATTTGAAAGCATTGGTCTGATGCTGAATTTTTTTTCTTGAAATTTGCAGGTAGGATTCTACAGTGAGCGTTGCTATGGGGACGCAAGTGCCGCATTCCGCGTCGCTTCCCGACGGGCTGTTCTCGGGACTGCCGAGCCTGGTGTCGGACCTACAGAAGCTGCTGGACGACCGTGACACGGCAGACGTCATGTTCGTGGTGGGGAGGGAGGAGGTCCCCATGTACGCACACAGGCTCATCCTCTGGGCACGCTGTAAGGGGTACCAGAGGTACAAGAGGGACTTCTGGAGTAAGGTAGGCCTGGGGTTATGCTCATCTTTAATACTGCTTATCCCTCTGTGAGGAGGATTATTAGCAGCTGCGCGGATTAGTAACTGTGTGCAAACAAAGGGTAGGATAGGGATGGACGTAGACAAGTGCCAGGACAGGACAAGTGGAAATCAATGGTGCTAGTATTACACATATTTACATGTTTACAAGGACAGGGAGGCATCTCAATGCAGCAAAGCCCATCCCAGCTCTGCTTTGAACACTTTACACACCTTAGGCCACACCAAGTTGGTTTGTTGGTTCTCAAAAAAAAAACAGACCTAGGAATCCTATGATAGCCCCAAATGCTAGGAGCAATGAAGTCAACAATGAGTTTCAATTGAAACAATGAGTTTCAAACTTTTAATCAAACCACTGCATTTTTAAATGGAAAATAAACTGTAACAACTCTGAAGAGAAGAGACTTCTTTCAACTGTTAGGGCCAAAATATGAGCATTTTGGAATTGATTTAGAGGCTGAAATAAGGTCTTTTTTGCAACCCCCCTCCAAAAAAAGCAGGCAAATCCATGAACCAACAAGTTAAATTGGTGTGGCCTCACAAAGTTTGTAGCATAACGTGTGGTTAGGGTAGCTGGCCCTAGAAGACTCTACAGGTTCCTGGTTTGAATACCTATCAGGTCTAATACACAAGGAAATTTGTCGATGAAGGTTAGACATCCAGGAGATACACAAGGAATATACCAGGTCCAACGTTGAACCCTTGAGAGGCACCAAATTTCACTCTGCTCAATTGAAAATAATTACATTTACCTAGCTCTGGTGTACATGTATGTACTTTTGAGGCCTTTTTATGAGGTGTTCGCCCATTTCACACTTTTTTTGCAGGTAACAGGAATGAAGGGAATCATGACCATCAAACAACCAAAGTACAAACCTGAAGTCTTCAGAAATGTTCTCAACTATCTGTACACAGGAAAGGTATGAATGAACTGACCATTTAGGTAACAAGAATACAAAAAATGTGCAAAATGTAACACTTTTATATGTCTACAAATACAAAAGTTCATGACAATGTAGGTGCCTTGTTCAAGATGGTTTGAACTTATTGCTGCTGCCTAACAATACAATTTTGGCTCCAAAATACTACTGCTAATCAGCATTTCTACCACTGACAATTATTATGTTTACAGAAGGAAAACATTCTTTTTGCTATGTTTTCTCTTCTTCATCCTCTCCAAACCAAAAAGGTCAATGACCTGAACCAGACTGTCTGTTACCATGGTAACTAGTGTAGGGTTGTTTTTGCTACGTTTCCTCTTCTTCATCCTCTCCAAACCTAAAAGGTCAATGACCTGAACCAGACTGTCTGTTAACTAGTGTTGGGTTTCACCATGTTGCAATTTTATAGTAGGAGGGATTTAGACTCCTGTCTGACCATATATGTGAATGTGTTTGAGTAGGAATCAACAGAGCAGACCATATGCGAAGGTAAACATTATGCTTTTGCTATTATGAAGCAAGTTTAAACTGCAATTTCCAACACAACAAATTGGACTCACCCAAATTTTCGACTGTACAACTCCAGTCTTCGTCAAGGAATGAGCAATCCACTGCTTCTGTGACATCACACAGATAACACACATGACTTCGTGAGCAGTGGATCATAGGTTGCAGAAAGTCTGTGGCGCCCCCCGTCTCTGTTGAGGGATGGTTGTAATGCCCTGGTGTAGATGGCCTTTTTAATTCCTCATGCAATTATTCATTTGCATTTGCTTTGCTTTACATAAATATGATTTTGTGTTTTGTACAGATGACCCTGAAAGATGCCACAGTGTTTGAGGTGTTAGTAATAGCCCAGGACATGGGTGTACCAGACCTACAGTACAGTTGTGAGGAGCACATCTCCAGTCAGCTCACAGTCCACAACGCCTGTTTCTTCCTCGCTAACGCTCTCAGCACTGTTCCAACACTTACTACTAAAGGTGGGTTATAGAAACTTTTTTATAGTTAAGATTTCTTTTGTACCGTATGTATAGTTCTGGATCTAGAGCTCAGAGCAGTTTGGCCTAGGAAAAAAAATGTTGTCTTTCCTGTTTCCTGACCGATCCTCTAAAAACTGCCGACCCTAGCCTTTTTTTTGTGGAGCCTGCAAGGGACATAAACTTTTCGAGCTGATCAACCTTTTCTAGCTCTATGATCTGACACTTGAATTATGAAATGTTGCACAGTTTTCGAACATTGACATTGGAAAATATCATGCAAGTTTTACTTTGTTAAACCATATTGTGTAGGTTGTAGAAAGTCTGTGGCGCCCCCCGTCTCTGTTGACGGTGGTTGTAATGCCCTGATGTAGATGGCCTCAACAGAGCCGGGGGACGCCACAGACTTTCTGCAACCTATGATCCACTGCTCACGGAGTCACGTGTGTTATCTGTGTGACGTCACAGAAGCGCTGTATTGCTCATTCCTTGACAAAGACTGGAGTTGTACAGTCGAAAATTTGGGAGAGTTCAATTTTTTGTATGTATGTTCAAGAAAACAGGGTGTCTTAGATACAATTTTGAAAAAAAAGACGATGCATGTTCTTTTCCTTTAAGATGTTGTTCATTTTCTCAAAGGAGGAGCTACAGAGATCCACCCCCTTGTCACGAGATGTCTTAACTTCATTGAAGAAAACGCAGAAGACTGCTTGAGGACAGAAGGGTTCTTACAGCTGCCCAAGGAACCTGTCATCAGACTTGTATCCAGTGATCAGGTCAGCCAATCTGCTATACATATATGTTTCCCTCAAATTGTGAAGAAAAAAGTCTATAAGGCCACACCAATTTAATTTCTTGGTTAACGGATTTGCCCGCTTCATTTTTTTTTCTGATTTGCAAAAAAAAAAAAAAAAAAAAATTCTGAATCAACTGCAAAATGCACATATTTTGCCCTTGACATTCGAAAACAGTCATTTTCTTCCTAGTTGTTACAGTCACTCCATCTTTCAATGCAATGGTATCATTAAAAGTTCAAAATTCATTGTTAAAATTTTGAACCAGCCTGGTGTGTTGACTTCATGGCTCTATCGTACCATTTTGGGCCATAATAGAATGCCTAGCCCTGTTTTTATTTTTCGCCCGCCCGCTACATTATTTTTCTAGAAAAATCCGGTAACCAAGAAATTAAAGTGGTGTGGCTTAATAGTTTGTGTTAAAGGTATCCAATGCAATTTCGGGATATCAAAACTGGAAATATTCTGAATAAGGCAATCTTTGTGATATTGATACTGCTTCACATTGGCACATTTAAATCAGCATTTCATACTTTGGGCATTTAAAACTGCAGAAACAAGCCCCAAGATGAGTCCTTTATTTTCTGGGTGGTACCCTAAGATTAGATTATTATATATATTGTTATCCTGACTACAAAATAAAGCCCAACAAAGGAACAACAACAAAAAAAGACTGTAGTAAAGTTCTTCCTAAGTTCCTATGTAATTAATTAAGTTTCAGAAAAAAAATGTGGGTTGTACAGGTACTTTTGACAAAAAAGCTGCAAAACTATTATTTTCCTTCGTACATGATATCGTTGCTATAGCAGCTACATTTTTTCACAAACAATAATACAAAAGTTGTCATGAATTTAAATTCATATCCCTAGGTTATTCAGTAAGTTTAAAAGAGTGATGGTTAGAAATATGAATAATTATTCTTGAAAAAAGTTTGACTAAGATTTACATTAGACATTTATGTCTATATCTTAAGAATCCATTCACCAGGCTGTTGCAAGGGTTAATCTGGAGTCAAGCAACTTTTACTGGATCTAAAATAGAATCAAGTAAGTTTGATAGCCAAAACATAAAAATAAACGAAAACAACAACAACATTGCAGTATCTCTTGCAAATGATAATTGAGTATAGAAAGTGTACTGGAAGTGTGGTCCAACAAAAAAGTCACAGTCTGATATCAAGATGTTGCAACATGCTTTGCCTAACTATTCTTTCCCTCTGTATGTAACGTTACTGGGTTGAAGAGCAAATTTGCCTAACTGTGTACTCTATTCTGTCAGCTCTATCTGCCTAACTACTGCAGTGTATGTATGAGCATTCCAGAGAAGGTTGCGTTTGGTCGTATCTTGACGCCCTCCTTGACGCGGAGCCAGATGCGATCGCGGGGGTTGAGCTGCAGGTACAGGGAGTTACCGGTCATGGCGTGGCCAGACATGTTCATACCCTGCTGGGGAGGGGGGCAGAAAATCAAGGTCACATCAAGGTCACATCAATGCACAGGATTTACATATAAAATGAACATGTAGTGAAGAAACTTTGTGTCACTCACATTGTTTCTAAGGCCACAGCAAGTAATTATTATGGATGACATCAGGGCACGCATTACTGATTTTGAAAAAAATAAAAACAGGAAATTTTGTTGCCCTCTGACAGTGGTCAACATGCCGAAAATAGGCAAAGATGTCTGTCGCCATGCTGGAATGTGGATGGCAGATAAATATGAAGAGAAAAGACAAGACAAGGTTCTGATTTATTGTTTTGTCTTTTACTTTGATGCAGCGATGTATTGCATAATATATGTAATATTCCCACTGAAGCAAAACCATTTGTACAATGATTGAAAACTTTTATTTTTCAGTGTCAAATGGATGTTGTACTGTAGTACTTGGCAGTAAAGGTAGCACAATTTAGGTATCATTCCTACATTTTCAAATTTCCAAATTGAAGATTGCCTTGTTTTTTATTTTGCCCTATCGCATTAGATTTGGAGTCTGGAGGATGTATTCCATAAAATTTACTTGCTGTGGCCTTAGGATGATACAAAAACACACAAAGATAAATGAAAAGGTAGTCAAATAACAATGATTGTAGGTGACAAACGAATGACAAAGGACATACCTGCAGTGACACGACCGTGACACCATTTTTGACCAGTTGGACCGGTTCATACTGGTTCTCGGGGTGCTCACACAGAACATGGAAGGTGAAGAAGTAGATGCCTGGTTTCTCTGATGTGAACGTGTGGCCGTCAAAACCTGCAAGAAACATGGAAGATCCACCTCAGAAGTTTAGGATATCATAATTATTATTAAGCAATCTATAATATCCTAGTACTTTGGCTGTGAATTGTTTCTTTTAGTGAAGATGCTTTTTGGTGCAGATTCCATACCTAACACACACGTTTTTGACTCTTGTCTCCATTTCTTGAGTTTTCATGCACATCATAAGGACCAAAGTGTCTTCTTTCCTTGATGGAAAATGACTTACAAATGACAATGACTTTCAAACTTAAAAAAAAGATAATATTTGATAGCAGATGCTTTTGATATCCATGCTATGATTTCCACTTGTTCAAAAGGTTAAACCTTGATGTGATGTTTAGATGTCTGATATTCCTTTTGACATTCCCCTAAGCATTTGGAAGATATCTTTGGTTAGTTTGTTGATGAAAGGCAAGAAAGCAGCCAACAAATCATAATGATATTGCGGTCATCAAATAAGCAAGGGAGTCTAAAACTTAAAAGTAAAGACTCTTTTGAACCTCCTTGAAGAAAAGCAATAAGGCCACTGCCTATTTTCAGTAAAAAGCAACATGTACATGTATAGACATCGACTAGGGGTGGGTACCTGTATAGAAAATTCAGGCCCAGGTTCAGATCAGGTTCAGAGGATCAGGTCCAGGTCTGGACCTAAACCTGGACCTGATTATTGTACAGTAGCACTACTAGTAGTATATCATATTTTGGAGTGTGAAACACGAGTACAGGTGACTTTGTTCAAGTTGTAACAATTTTGTATAAAGCTGAACACAGTTACAGAAAGAGACAAACATGCATTAAGGCTAATCTAGTTTGATTCAGGATTATTTTCTTTACCTGCCATGTCCAGATTATCTAAAGATGTGTGTATAATCTACAGAAATGTATATCAGGTCCGATGATCTGGTTTACGTGTTTCATTTTTTTTGTGTCTCGGTTCTTGACGGTCCGGCTGAACCGGTACCCACCCCTAATATTGACTTTAATGTCCATTTGGAATTCATTTGTCCATGCTGCATAACATGCTGCAAAAACAAGCAATGACACATGTAGCCCATCTCTCAGACTGTCAGTAATGTAAAACATTTGCAGAAGCATGGTTAAAGGTTTCAACAGCCCAGCAAAGGGGGAGGGGGGCATGATTAAAGTAAAACGACTGCTGTCTGTGTCCAGGCCACCCACCTCCTGTTCCCCGATGACCCCTTGATCGAGGTCGACCATTGTGTGGTCTTTCTGTGGATAAAGTCAACAACGTCCAAATTTTAATTTGTACAATTATGGCTGGACTTTTTCAAGGTTAAGAGTATCTTAGAGTGACTTAGCAACTCAATAATTGCTGAAAGTTCACAGGAGCATTGTAATTCATAAGGTTTGATAACATTTCAAAATACCACCTGCATATGCAGGTTTGTATAGTTAACATTGGAGTTGTGCAGGTTTTTCTGATGTCTCCATTATGTAACACACCTGACCTGTTACCTGACCCCAAAGTAGTGTTACAGCATTCAAGATGGCAACAACTAATCAAGCATTTTGAACATTTTTTAAAAAGATAAATGCAGATAAAATTTTGTCAAGTTAAAAAATTGAGCCCTGCCCTGCATTGTTTGCAATTATAATTAACAGTAATATAGCTATTACACCTTTTGTTCACTAGGATTCATGAGGTTGTAGCTGTGTAATTTCATATTGGACAATGGTTTACATGGAAGAATTGAGAAGAAAAATTTAGATGTTTGTAAGCTCACCTGTTCCTGCGTTTATCAGTACTCTGTCAAATATGATCCTGTCCTGTCCGCTGGGTCCGCTCCCAGAATGCACAGCAGAGAACACCACCGGCGGACTCTCGGGTTTCGGGGCGATCTCGGGTTGCCGTGGTAATATCCGCTTGATGTCTTCTTCGCTGAGACCCGGCCCGGGTGGCCCCGGCGGCCCTACGGGACCCTGCGGGCCAATCTGTCCGGGTAACCCGGTCGGGCCGATCCACCCTTGTTCACCTTTACTGCCGGGAATGCCCGGGTTGCCTATGGGTCCGGGGCTACCCGGGGGGCCGATAGGGCCTGGGTTACCCGGCGTCCCAGGCTGACCCGGGGGTCCAGGTGGCCCGGGGTAGCTGTTGTACCCAGTCTGTGATCCGGGTTGTGAGTACCCAGGCTGGCCCGGAGGACCCGGTTCTCCTTGATCACCTTTGTCTCCTTTTGCACCTGGGATCCCGGGCGCACCCAGTATACCCGGTGGGCCGGGGGCTCCAGGGGGCCCGACTGGCCCAGGGAGGCCCAGATTCCCTGTGCTTATCCCAGGGTTGAACCGACTGGTAAGTGGACAGTCTTTGCAGAGCCCGGGCAGGCCTGGGGGACCAGGTGGTCCTTGGGGTCCGGGGGGTCCTGGTTGGCCAAGCACACCTAGGTTAGGTGCAAATGGCTGTGGTGGCCCGGGGCCGACACTAGGGGGGCCGGGAGGGCCAGGGGGGCCGGGCGGTCCTTGTGGGCCACTTGTACCTGGTGGGCCGATCACCCCAGGCGCCCCGACGGGGCCAGGAAATCCCCTGGGGCCTCCTGCCGACCCCTTCTGCCCGGATAACCCGGGTGGACCCGGCTGCCCGGGTGTGCCGGGGACTCCGGGTGACCCGGGCTCTCCAGCTGGGCCTGGGTCGCCTTTCTCCCCCACGATGGGCAGACTCACCCCGCCCTCCGCACCTGTGCACCGGATCTTACATGTCGGCTGCGCGCCGCCGCCCACCGCTGGCGAAACCGCCGGTTTGTCATCATCATCGTCAAACAGAAACCCCAACGTCAGCGGGAATGTCCAAAGCAGAAGCATGTATTTCAACTCCATTTTAAGATGTAGCGCACACAGAGAATGTCCCACGTGCAGCTTGTCTTGTTTCTGCGAGGCTTTTAATCTGTTTGCAGGAAATTTCTTGCACTCCTACGGCTACTGAACCGTAGAACCCTGAGGCAGAGACATAGACACGGAATAATTACCATTCCTCTTTGGTACAATTACAAAACAGGGACATCTTTAAAGACATAACAGCACCAAACTATGTATCACAAAACCTATCTGCAGTACACACATTGTATTGTTCACTTATTTTCTGTTATACAACTGTTGTAGCAGTCTTGTAATTGAAGAAAAAAAGTTGTCCGAAATGGAACTGATTGTCATATGGAAAGAAAAGTTGTTTAATGTACCCACCATTTGAAATGAGACTTGCAACAGGAGACTTCAACCTTCACCCACGAGTCACATTAGTCACGTAGAGGCTCTGCAGGGGATAATGAGATCCTTTCCTCTGTGTGAGGGTGTGTCAGGGGTTGTGATAACTCTGTTAAGCATGTTTTATACAGATCATTCTATGGGGTGACCTATGTTCTCGTGCTGTGTCCTATAAAGCCCCAAAACAGAAGGCAAACCTGTCTACGGCAGCTGACAAAAAGTTTGCTGCTTTCTGAATGTTGTTTGAAAAAATACCATCTTTTAGCTAGCATTATTTCGAGCAGAATTTTATAAAAGAAAAAGGACTGAAGCGATTGAACACTCAGATGATGTTGTTTGGTAAACCCCAACACGCCCTCGCCAAGTGCAGATCTGCTTTTCTTCATGACAGCCTGGGTGTTTACAGAAAACTGTAATAAACAGAAGATATGGCAGTCATCTGTGGCATCCGATACGTTAGACAAAACAAACAACACTGCCAACTGGAACCACAACCATATTGCCATAAACCCTCCTTGAAATATCCAAATTTCTTTCACAAGAAAACATATGGTTTGATTAAAAATGCTTACAGAAACCAACAAGGATGAACAGAACTTAAAAACTTTACTGACAATTTTCTTTGACATTTGGAAGTTTAAATTTGTTCCAGACAACCCATCCGTTAGAACTATCCTATGAGACAACATAAACTTGTTTTATTAACTACATTTGTTGGAAAGTCTAGGGGCCATAGGTTGGATTCCAAAGCAGACCCTATCTTTACTGTAAGTTTAAGACCAAGGTACATTCAATAGATCTAAATTAAATCAGTTAGAGGGATCCTACTAGGGTTTGGATTGGCATTACGAAGGGCTGTATGATCCAGCCATAAAAAATCTTGCTTCAAAAAAGAATTGCACATGGTGCAAGTATGTCAATCCCCCAGTTTCAGGGGAAAAGATGTTAAACTGGATAGAGTGAGATAGAGAGAGAAAGGGAGGGAGAGAGAGAGAGAGAGAGAAATCAAGAAATCAGACATTGTAATTTGGAGGAAAGAAGACCTGCAATTACTGTGAAACTTCATAACATTTCTCATTGTGTTTACATATTCTTAAGATTTCAATGTTATTCTTTGTATGGTACTAAGTATAAAAAATGTCTATATTCCATTGTACTAACAGACGTAACAGTATGTCTATGAAATATTGAATCAAAGCATAAAAATCATCTTTTTTTAAATAATAAGGTATCCAAGGTACCCATTTTCATTGCATAATGTGGGAACTCTTTGACCCCGGTACAACAAAGATTGTCATTAAAATTTTTGAAGGAGGTTTAACATACCATTCCACACAAAAATGCCCCATGCCACATACCGGTAAACAAATCAGGTGCTAACTTTAGCCTTGTACAGTTTATGCTGGATGTTTGGGTGGCAGATGTATGTTATGGCTAAGGCCTTACCAAGTTTATACATTGTTTGTCATCATATTTTAGAATGTTGTAATTTAGCCATTTGGCTTGTATTACTGTAAATTTGCTTACTCATGCGGGCACTTTGAAAATCAAGAGTTAGCATTGATGGTGTTGTTTCTCAGATTTTTTCAGAAAAAAATGAAGCGACAGGGCGAAATAAAAAAAAAAAAAAGGCCAAGGCACCCCATGATAGTTGGAAATGTTACAATATGAGCCATGAAGTGAACATACCAGGCTGGTTTATAATACAAAAAAAAAAAAAGATTTTGAACATTTAATGCAACAAATTTGCATTGTTACATTGACAACTAGGAAGAAAAGGACTTTCTTCAACCATTGGGGCCAAATATGTCTTTCATTGAGAATTTTGCAGTTGATTTTTTTTTGCAAATCAGAAAAAAATGGACAGCGCCAATCCGAGAAACAACGAATTAAATTGGTGTGGCCTAAAGTAAAAGGTAACCTATTTTGCAGGCCCCTTCCTATATCAAATGTGTTGAATATCTTTTGGGTGCTCAACATCTCACCATTTTCATGAAAAATATCCACTACCTATGGTTAAGATTTAAAGTTACTACAGACTGAGTTCATAATGGCTATACGATATGGTCCGTACTTGCCCCCCTCCCACTGTGATACCAAGCAATGTTTGTGATTAAAGGTGACGTAAGTCCAAGGGTCTGTTCTGCAGTCCTTGACTGTGATAACTGTTTGGTGACTGTGACAGTGCAGAAAAAAAACAGACAACACAGATAAACCTGTTGAAGGAACTGCATTATCATTTAAATTTGCTGTAAGGCCACACCAATTTAATTTCTTGGTTAACGGATTCGCCTGCTTCATTTTTTTCTGATTTTCAAATAAAAATAAAAATTCAGAATCAACTGCAAAATGCTCATGTTTTGCCCTGAACAGTTGAAAACAGTTCTTTTCATCCTAGTTGTTACAGTTATTCCATCTTTCAATGCAATGGTATCATTAAAAGTTCAAAATTCATTGTTTAAATTTTGAACCAGCCTGGTGTGTTGACTTCATGGCTCCTATCGTACCATTTTGGGCCATAATAGGATGCCTAGGCCTGTTTCTATTTTTATTTTTTTTTCGCCCACCCGCTCCATTATTTTTCTGGAAAAATCCGTAAACCAAGAAATTAAATTGGTGTGGCCTAAGGCATGAAATGTTTGCTGATCTTTTCAGATTTCATGGTGACCTTTCTGCTTCCAAATCATCACACTGAGAACATGTGTGTGCCCCCTAACTGCTTGCTTTCCTGTGAACTGAAAACGATATGAAATATGAAGAATGTTTAGACCTTGAAACAAATAGTATACACTTTGTAAGTTGATTCATCAATTGTCTTGTACGCACATGTAGGTCAATTTTGTTGTAGTTTAAGACCTTACGAAAGTCGCTGTACTTTTGTTGTGTCAATAAAAGTTCCATAGGAAAGTCTCTTTCTGCAAAATTAAGTCCCTGTGAAGTTAAACACATTTGCATGCAGTAACTGTTGTGAAGCCATGCCATCTGACCAGTCAAAGGCTAAATGTTATGTCTGGATCCGTAACTTCTTCACACACATTACAGTAGATGTGGTGAGTTATAGAGACCTGTGTTGAATTACGCTTCATTTACAGTCCCCAGGTTTTTCAGCTTAGTAGGTTATCTGGTGCTTTGGAGAAATTGAGTTTTTCACCTCCTCGTAAAGGAGGTTATGTTTCCATGTCAAGGGCACAGTATTGGAAGGCAGAGCCCATCCCTCTCCTTCCACTGCCTTTTATCTACCCAGAAGTCAGGTACCCATTTTACACCTGGCTGGAGTGAGAAATGTCATGTTAAGTGCATCCATCTATATCCAACAATGCAAGGAATCAAACCCTCGATCTTGTGTCCACTGGAGCCTAGCCACTTGGCCATTTGACTAGAAGAAACTATATGTATAAAAAATGTAAATGCTGCCTGGTACTAATAAAAAGAAGATAATATGAACTCCATGGCTCGTATCATTGCGTTTGAGACTGTAATAGGATGCTTAACCCTGTTTTTATTTTAAATTTTTTTCGCCCTGTCACTTCATATTTTTTCTGGAAAAATCAGAGAACCAACAAATGAAATTGGTGTGGCCTAGGGTTATGTAAGAAACAGGAGGAGACAGTAAACCCTTCTGGTCCCGGGCTGGGGTTCGAACCCACGACCTCTCGGGCACCAGAGCTTCATAACCAGACGCTCTAACCACTCGGCTAAAAGGTCTAGACCCATTGGCCGGGTCAGTTGATAGTGCCTATAAACCCCCCACTATTACAGTTACAAAGTTTGGATGGTAAATGGCTCTCTTACTCAGGAAGAAGTAACATTAGTTTGAACCCCCCTAGTGACTTGTTCTGGAACTGCAGAAGCATTTTTCTAATGCTGTGGTTCTCCTGTGTTTATGCAGCTAGCTCTGGAGGAGGAGGAGGTGTGGAGACGTGTGCTGGCCTGGGCTAAGTACCAGGCTAAGGTGGAGACAGCCCCCCAGAGATGGAGCCCTGAGGAGAAGGCCAGGGTGTGCCAGGTATGGGGACATGAGCATGTCGGCAGAACGTACTGCACCTGTGCGAAATCCGTAATGTATTGTGTGTAACACTTTGGCAGAACATGTCATATAAGGTCGTATTCGCGCATATAATGTTAACATCCTGTCTGTAGTTTCAAAGTGTTATGTCGAAAAAGATATCGTCTGCAACAGGCAAAATTCTGATGCAACGTTGACGAAAAAAACATGAAAAATCAGGGCTTTGCGCAGGCGCAGTACGTTCTGCCGACATGCTCTGGACATAGGACCTCCTATTGGATTAAAACACACATGGGGTCATGTGGCACAATGGCAGAGTGCTTGACCAAGAGGTCCCGGGTTTGAGTCCTGACATGCTACCGATCTTCTGCCCTTGGGAAAGTCAATTTACTTGACTTTCCCCACTTAACTGGAGTGAAAATGAGTACTAGTACTGTATTGTCTGTCCTGTATTTGTTTCCATGTGTATGTGGGGGACACAACACCAGCAACCCACGTGTATTGCACTGTAAACAGTTGCAATTTCAATAAATCAAATCAAAGGCAATGAGTACAGAATGTATTGAAAAATGGTGTAAAACCATGTACTTACATCATATTCTACTTCTACTACTCTAAGGTCCAGAAACAGTCATGCCTTCAAATATCAGTTATCAACCAAAAATTGAGGTGTTTTACTAACTGTGGAGTGGAACTCATTGCCACCAAGCAGACACCAAACAGACATCCAGGAAGCTTTAAGCAACTCCTGCAATTAAATGTGCACAGATTGGATGCATCCGGTCGTTCGGTGTAATGTAGCTTGCTGCTGCCGCGCTGTGTGCCTGCAAAGCTGGTGTGTTATGCCAAAGGGCAGTTATACGACTATACAGATAAGGAAGCTAGTGTGTTATGCCAAAGTGCAGTTATACAACTATACAGATACAGAAGCCGGTGTGTTATGCCAAAGGGCAGTTATACGACTATACAGATACAGATACAGAAGCTGGTGTGTTATGCTGAAGGGCGGTTATACCGGCTGTACAGATGCAGAATAAGATATATGTGCTATCTAGCATGCAAGCTATATGTTGCATGAATAGGAATAAATTTTCAAAAAATCCTCTTTGTGTGTTTCAGCACCTGTCAGGAGTGATAGAGCATGTGAAACTGTTGCTGATTGACAGTAAGGTGTTTGCAGAAGAGGTGGAGCCTACAGGAGCTGTTCCCATGGAGCTGTCACTGGAGAGGTAAACAAAGCAGAGCAGCCAAAATGTTTTGTATATTGCCCTAGCACCAGTACCAATTAGGGAGTTTGTAGTGACTGTTGCATGTAGCTCTGTACAATTACTGACAATAACTACGTTGTACAAGGCTGTACTGTTTTAACTGACAATAACTACAAGACTGTAATGTACTAGCATGAAAGTTCATCTGAGTTGGTAAAATACATGAAGAAAAATAAACTGTTCTCCAACTCAAAAAGAAATTTACTCACATAACTACATACTATACAGGTGAAACC